GTCGAATTACACAAAGTCTTGAAAAAATTATACACGGCGTAGAGTCAATGTGACCGTTGCCCGTTTATTTTTGATAGAAAGAGAGCAGAATATAGGATGAGCCAGTGTTAAAAGTATCAGCACGATTTTCGTTTCTATTTTGGTGGTCATTATTTTGCATGTTTAACGTGGAATTATATCTGTATTGCTATCAGTAATTTAGTAGGTTGATGATTGAGAAAATATATATCCACAATATTAAATATATTCTAGGTATACGCGACCAGTATCTTACGTTTGCGCTTCATGCCGTCGGAAGACGAGCTGGGTATATAATGCAAATACTAGTATATTACTTAAATGTATAGGTCAAGAAAAACATATTTTTTAAACTGTAGGGTATGTTACTAAAACAAAATTAGAAAAAATACATCTCCAAGATGTAAATATTGCATTTCAGAACCTCCTAGTGTTACTTTTATCCAACTAAAATACTTAAGTGACAATAAAATAAAACAAATTGATAATACTTCAATATAAAATAAAAGTTAATGTTTTTACTCATTTGTTATTTATAATTTATTATACAACAAAATAACTAAAAATTATACTTTAAGATAAGTATTTGATTGAGAATTATGATTGAAAATTGTATCGATAATATTCATTGAAATAAGTTAGTATACAATAAAGATACATTTAATGGTAATACCAATTTATTAATATAGGAAAATAAATATTATACTTAGTAATATTGAAAAATAAAGCGTTTCATATCTTAATTGTAGAATCTCCAGTAGGTTTTTATACGATTCACAGTTTCAGAGTGAATATGAGTATACCTGCAATATGTTTATTTCTTTTTTACTTTTTTCTATTATAATGTAAATAACACAAACATACATACACACACACAATATATAAGTACACGATCCTGCAAGAATGATTTAATGTTTCTAAAACGGCAAACCGTGTTTTATGGTACCCCTAAGCACGCGGCCGCAGCGCACACAGGCTACACGAAAAACTTTGTATTTGTTTAAAAATGTTTTATCGCTGGTTAGCAATCTCCACGCCCTATCTTAATGGAGTTACTTCTATATCCGTGCGCGCTCGTATATAACATTAATACACACATAACATATATGTATATGTATATATATACAGGTATATGTATAACGTTTGTTTATATTTAATTCTATTAAACAGATACATGGTTATAGCTATCGTGAAACTCAATACGCGCGGTCGCCGTTCGCGTTTCTTTATGACATTGCTCCGGGCCAAATGGAACGCAATAATTAAAACGTTTTGACAATAAAAAAAGGCTTTGGGTAAAAAAAAATTATTATGTCCCTACTATATAATATAATATATAATAATATACGAGTTGACAAAAACGGGAAAACACGAAATGGAATAATTTACTCGCAGCGGATATATTTAATATTAATATTATTATATTCTAAAATTATAGTAGTTCTATTACTTTTTTCTTGACGTATTCATTTTTATTTTCTATCTGATCACTAGCCCAACGTCGATATACCTACCTACCTATCCCGAGAGATCCGTATCTCTCAGTGGTGTAGAGCTCATTAAAGACAGATTACATCAGAATTTTTTTTTTTTATTATTCCGTTCGGGCGCCATAGCCGTACACCACTCTGGACCAGGTCGTACGGCTGACGCGCGTACTACAATAATTATGGTAATCCAACGCCGAATTTGGCTGATCCCGCCAACGAAAACCAGCAAACGTTATCACGGTACAAATCTAATGGCATCCGATATATTTACACGGCCGCTCGTTAAAAGTACAATTAATTACAGTTCGATTTTCCTCTATTTTTATCGGTTTTTTCGATGTTTTTTTCTTCGTACAATTTATGACGCGTAATTTAAATTAAGAAAAAGTGTCATCACCTATATAACGACTTAAACATATAACATTTAACTCGTTTGAGCAGCCAACGTCGCTATCGTTTAATATACATATACTCGAACTTCAGATAAGTAAATATACGTATGCATACGTTGTTAAATGTTATTTTTCCATATAGTTGTACGCATGGATATTTATGATGGGTTCGATTATTTAAACACTATTTTTTTTAAATTAAATTTTATTTTCCAATAAAATAACCAAATAGTATGGTTATAATAATAATCAAAATTAATATTAAGTGATTATTTCATTCGATTTAATAACAATCAGTCCCTATATGGCCTATTTTAAAAAAAGAGTACAAATATTTAGCAACCTACCGGATTATTTAAGGGGGGATTTCTTTAAAACGTCAGACAAAAATCATAAGACTGAATTCGAAAAAGCCTTAGATGAATATATTTTAGTCTGTAACATTGTATTATTGTTGAATATAGTATTATAAAAGTAAGTAATTTACCAAAGTTTGAACTTTTTTGTATACTTGTAAAGTGGATGCCAATATGCATAAGAATTTTTTGTAAGAATTTACATAAAACTAATGCAGCTTAATATTTCTGTTAAGAGATATTAGATGTCGATGGCGACGGACATACAACTGCAGACATCGAATAGAAGTAAATTGACCTGATACGCTCTTGGATATTCTAAACCAAGATTTTTCAAGAACCGACAATACATTGGAATTTTTCCTATGTTAAGAACTATTTATATATTCCAGCAATGATACATATTTTTAAAAAACCGATATCCTTACTTATCCTTAAAAGAGTACACAACTATACACAAAAAGGTATAGTAGCAATACGTGCGAGTTGCTCGCACAGCACACTACCAATGCCCCGTGTTCCCTTCATCCACTGTAGGGACTGTGAAAACGTTCTGTAAAATTACTATCATTTTTGATTTTGCTGCCGTCATCGCAGTCCAGGATTGCGCTGTGCAAGCGCGGGACAAAAGCCAACGACGACCGATCGTTGGATACGTTAAGTATCGGACGGGTATACACATCCGATCGCGGCACAGATACGACGAACCAGTGCAGTCCGATTCGTAACGGTACAAATATTAATATTATGTAGATACGGTGAATAGAAATGCGGCCAACATGAGAGATATATTATTATCATAAATCGTTGCGGTTAAATACGGTTATTAAAATATTATACTACTATAATTGTATTTTTCGTATTAATAAATACATATTAGGACCCAGTAGACTTATAAAGGCAATCTCTCCATATAATATAAAATCTGATAAAATGTTTTATTTAAAACACGAGCAAAACCGAGTTATTCGGCTAGTTTTTGTATAAGTACTTATTATTACAAGTTAATATAACACCTTAGGGGTGTACGGTGTACAGGACATTGACGAAAATGGAATAGGCTAGTCCGAATAGCGAATGCAAAGGCAAGATTCGAGCAATATTGCCTGTTACATATTGTTAAAGTTCATCAATTTTTTGGGGAAAGAATGTACTGCTATAGTCCCTCCCCGAGGGGCAACGGAATTGGCCAGATGGTTCAATATATCTATATTTGACTGGAAGAAATTTAAACTAGAGGTCCTTAGGTTGCACCTTACTAATAAAATCATAAACGCATCGTGATACCCATATGTGACCCTTATTTAACAAATTTTGTGCAGCTCACGCTAAATCTGAATATTATATTCCAAAATCCAACATTTAACACTTAAGTAAATAAAATAAAATATTTGTATTAAAATAATATTGTTTAACTATTCTAGCTTATAATTATTAAAGATGCGTTTACATTTAGCGCAATGATTCGACTAACTTCTAACGAGGTCAAAAAATGTTATTAGTTCATAATCGTATGAATCAATTATGAATTGAGTACGAAAAATGTTGCCTGAAAGTGGTTATGTCGTGTAACGTTCTTAGTGGCACAGTGTTTTGATAAATTATCCAATTCGGTACAAATTACAATGTTATTACTTTTTAAATACCAATAAATATTTTAAAAAAGTGTTCTGTGTTATAGTATGAAGTTCCAGAGGGATTTCAAATACAAGTCAGAGTATCAATTATGTCATAGAATTTATAGTCAAAACGTACAACTATTGTTAAACTAATGCGCAAATTAGCAAATTGTAAAGATCTTTTATCTCCAGAAGAAGTAGGTAATTCAAATTTTCTCCAGTAATGACATTAGGTACTTTTCCATGAGAACAAAATGTAAGAAAACTAAAATTTCTTATTTTAATGTTTTTTTACTTTGGGATGAATATGATTCCGATTTGCTTGCATGAAAATGTATGTTTAAATATTATATGTATCATATGTTGCAGCTTGTAAAAAATATGTATGAATTAGTATGAATTACGTAAATCATAATAGAAATTATAACATTGGAGATTGTCCCGCATATGGGTAGTTAATAAACTCAAATAATCATATTAACATAAGCATAAACTATTATACGCATACATTAAATCTCAAAATGTTTGATATATTGTTATGTTTTATATTTCGTATTACAATAAACTATGGTCTGTAGATATTAAATTACAAATAATAAAACTAAATATAATTCTACTAACGATATAATCTGTTGACAATGTTTGTATTTTATTAGGTTAGGTTATTACTAATAAAGGATAATACAAGTCTACAACATTTAAATTATACTCGAAATTTGATTTTAAAGCATACAAATATAGTAAATAATTCATAGCTTGCAATAAAAAAAAGAACCCAAAAGCTCAATAAGAAGCCCTGTGATAAAACCGGTAACCTAGAAGTATTAGTTATTATATATAGGTCCAGCTATTCAAACACGTATTTTATACCTAATTAATTTTATTTATACAAAACAATACTTAGGATTACAAATATTATTATGCCTCTAAACCAGTAGTTCTCAATCTTTTTAATACCGGGACCTAAATTTCCCCCAAAAAATCATTCGCGACCCACATTATAAACATTTTTATTAGGTATTTAGTTTTTTTATAGGTTTATAATTAATATGAATAAAAATATAATTAATATAATTAAAATGTACTTTTTATAATGAGGTACCTAACATAAATTTCTTGGAATCTATATAATTCAAAAAAATGTTCCAGACCCACCAAAAATTGACTGATGACCCACCAGTGGGTCGCGACCCACACTTTGGGAAAGGCTGCTCTAAACTATATAATATTAAATAACGATTATCGCTTGTTTGCCGGGCGCGTTAAAACATCGAGTGTTAAAATAATTTGACGGTCACGAGATAATCTAATAAAAGATAATTACCATTACACTGTTTTTGTATCTACCTACCCGTATAATGTGAGGTTATAGGTGGGTATTATAATATAGGTATCAACCAATTACCGTGTTAACACTCGCTAGTCGTAACTAAACTCGACTGGAGGCGGATCGAAGGACGAGTTTTCAGCAAGAAACTTCTGGTTATTTCGCGTCCAGTATTATTAAACCAATCTTAATATTTTCATAGATAGTTTTGTAACAGTCAATCTCATAAATACATCATCGCGCATACACCAAAAATATTTTGGGAAAACGCCCATCGTCATATTATGAACTATGAAGGTACAACGAGTGTGTTAAAATATCCAAATGATCAATTTCCATCAACAACATTTATTTGGAAGTAAGCAGTAAATGTCAATTATCATTAAATGTGTTGATATAATAGTGACGGGTAACGTATAAAACATGTAAACTAATAATTATCCAAAAATACAAAAATATTGATATGTAAATTAATGTCAATATTGAACCCCACTATTACAATATATTAAATATAATATAAATATATATGAAAATTAATTTAAAAGACAACAAATTAAGTTGATGGACAGTTGTCAAAAAAAATCAGAAACAATATATCTAGTACCTACCTACTAGATACTTGAGTGCGAATTAAACGCGATTACAAATTACCATATATGATGAATTGCGATGATAATAGCCTGTTTAAATTAATTGGTACCTACCTTATGGCGGGCGTGAAGCAAGTATACTTGAACTCGTCGACCTGGACGGGCGCTTATTTTGGTGTTCCACGCTCATATCATCTGGTACGTTTAATGGGGTTGATTAGCCGAGTCACTCACAATTATTATTGCTACAACAAATAATAATAGATATTTTAAATAAAATATGCACATTTGTGAATGGAAAGTTTACATGGTGCATATAGGTTGCGTTAAAAATTTATTATAATTATTATTATTATTATTATTATTATTATTATAGCATCATAATAATATATTGAATAAACAAAACGATGAAAATACAATAAAATTTTATGATTTTTTCGGTATCACAAAGATACCTGTTTTTATAGTTTTTATAAGGTATCGTCGTTATTAGTCCAAACCCGCAGCGATATGTCCGTGAAGTAATGTAGTTTACTACCCGTAAAGTCATCACTATGTTCAAACCGTTTAAACATTAATACGAATAAAAACTTCCAATTTTAATGTTTAGAGAAAAATGCATTTAACGTTATTGTTATTTATAATCATAATATTATGTATATAAAAATTATATAAAAATATTTATTTTATTTTTGTTATTTGTATAAGCAAATAAAAAAATTCAAAAAGTTTTACAGATGTACTCATATTATAGTATATTATAATATTTCTAAAATTTATGTGAGACAGATATCATCGAAAAAAATGTTTTTTTATGACCCTGTGTTCAAAAAGACAGTTTATTACGAAATATAGGAGACGGATAGTGACATTTTCTGAAAGTTGTTGTTTTTTTCGTGTTATATAAAAGAACACCGTATCCAATTCATGCAGCTACCCAACGACTATACTTGTCAATAAGTTGACATAAGAATACAAGTAATACGATGCGAAGACCGTACAAAAAAAGATGTGTATAAATTTTCAAATTTGCCAATGTAATATAAAATTCAACTTAATCACGGAAAACCAAAAAAATTAAAACAGTTAACAAGTTTTTATTGTTCAAAATTAACACGGCCGAATTAACGCGAATAATGTATAATATAGCAACGAGTAACTGTGTACATAATAATATATTATATTATATTATATTATACAATATTTTATCTCCACATACGATATATATTTGGCACGGGCGACGAGGAAAAAAAGAAACCAGTATATTATTAATTTATTATACCGCTGTGTGTTTCATTCATCGAGCGCGTGCGCGGTCGACTGGTACCAGAGACATGACTGTACCGGAAATGCGTGGGCAAACGAGACGCGTGTGCAAATAATAATCGTAGCTATATCATCATGTGATAATGTGATATGTATATGATATTGTATACCTACGTATATGTGTATTATTTATGAACCTCCACCGTGGCTGTACTATTCGTCAGCAGCGACGTAAAATCGTATTGTTATTGTAGGTATAAGATCTGTATTGAGGTGCACATAGCGCTGATCGTTACCCAGATCGTGGTAATGCGTTTCGCGAAATGATAAGACCACCCCCGGTTGTCGGTGAGTAACGCCGAATTGGCGAGTATACCTACAAATGTATCGTATTATAGATAACCTATATTAATGTCTTATATTTCCGGTGTAGTAAAACGCAGTGACCAGACCGATTATTATGCTGGTATGCGGTTATAATAGACTAGATGCTTACATTCATTGTATCGAACGGTTTTTTTACGTCATCCGAGGCAGACAACACCCGTGATCTCTTAAGACTTAGGCGACTGTGTCGCCAGTATGGCTGGGATTTAAGTAGGCTGCTCAAAAAAATAACAATAAATGCCAAAAAATTATACTTAAAAATTCAATTCAAACCGTTTGAAAAATTACACAACGGAGATGTTAAATAGTCAATTTTTAAAATAAGATTTTTGAAATATTATCTAAACATACTAAAAGAGAAATATGTTGTTATCGTCTTATTAGTTACTTATATACATACATATAGAATATAATACGAAAACGGCGATCCTACATGACTCAAATAATAATTGTTGATATTACAACTTTAACGAAACCTTTTCCAAGAGTTTATCAAATGTCAATGATAACATTACTTTAGTCCTTTCAATTAGTTTTATTTCGGTAAACAAGAATGTTATCGGCATTAACAACATGAGTAGCAAGCTAGGTTAGACAAAAAGCATTAGGTAATAGTGTAATACAGATTGTATTACGAAAGAATAACAAAGTAATAATAGCAATGAGTAAAAACGTGATGGCCAACTTTAAAAAAAATAATACAAAAACAATTTAAAACCATTCAAAATATATAAAATATATAAATCATTATGAAAACATACTGGTCACAAACTATACCTGGAGATAAAGTTATAGTAAGCTCATTAAGTGAAAAATAAATGGCTTTTGAATTCTTATCGCTGCCTAATAATAATGACGGCGGGTTTTCCCGAACGGAATACTATACCCCTGGTGTTTTTATTTAAGTTTAAATCGGCCTGCCTACTACAAAAAGTTGGAACCCCTGGTTTAGGTAGGTATTCAGGGGGTCTGGGTTAGGTTCAGTTCTATCATAATATGTTATGAATATCAATGGTCAGGTAAACTGTAGACGCCTGAAGTTTACACCATATGTTATTTCATCAATTAATTTACTTGATATAACTTCCAAAATATTTTGACTTGTTATAAGCTGTTGACAGACATTTTCAATTTTTCTTTTTCTTTTTTTATTCAAGTCCGGGTCTTTATCAACAAATTATGATCCTGGTAGGTTTTTAAAAGCTTTGCAAACTCAGTTGAAATTGGTCTGGGTTGAAAAATATAACACCTATTGGTCTAATTCGGTTGAACAAATTGTCTTAAATATTGAGTAAACCTAATCCATTTTTAGAGGACCAGGTTGTACTCTAGTACCTATTATAATTTAAGACGACTGTAACCAACATCAAACAACTAACATAATATACCAACCAGTGAACCCCAACACAGTAAATATTATTGAACTGTCTACTTAACCAAGAGTTAGGTGGTTATTTATGTATGGCTCCTGGCTACTAATAACTAATGAAATCTAAAATATCTAAATAATATTATTATTTATTTAACAAGAAAATTCAGAACATTTATCACACAATCATACGGAACACATTGACAGTGAAATAGTACCTAAAAGATAGATAGAAAAACGACCAAGAAATACTACAAGATAGTGATGGGTAATGGAATAATCTTTAAAAACAGCAAATTTAAAATGTTAGTTTAGAAAAGGTCATGAAGCATTAGTCTTTCAATGCAGCTGCAAATACAAGTGGACAGTATAATTGGTTACAAAAATACTTGAAGAGAGATACTCCGAATTTGATATTCACACACTACAATACAGACACGCTCACATTAGACTAAGTTCTCAAAAGTCTTAGTTTTTCAAGTTGTTAAAAAATTAAGTAAAATTAATTAATTACCTAGTTCATGATTTAATATGCATATAAAATAATTGTTATTACTAGGGAAATATATTAAATAAGAGAAACATGTGCCTTTAAAATTTAAATTAGTATTATTTTTATAGGATTAAGTTGTAACTGTTATTTGTTTACATAGATTAATAGCTATATTATAAAAGATGAGGCCTATTAATTTCTCAGCTTATAAGCTTAAATAAAATATAAAGGAGTAAAGAAAGAGTTATGTCATTTTTCATTATCTTTTTAAATTTAATATTGGAATTGCAATGATATTAGCAAAACTAAGTAATGAATCTTAACTGATTTGAATGATGAAAATAGTAATATAAAAAAATATACACGAAAGAAATATAATAATTTAATTATTCAAATTTTTTACCAATTTTTGCAGTATTTAATAATGACCAGTATTTCTCAGTAAATTATTAAAAATAAACTAGAAAATTATTTTTCTGAAGAACAACTCATCAAATTGTTTAATGTTAATTACCACTAAGTTGATTTTTATAAGAAATTCTTATCACATTTGTAAAAAAAATACCTTAAAGTTCAAACTTGAAAGGTAAAATAATATAAATTTGGTATACAGTTTATACACATAAACTTTTTTTCTGGTAATTATAATGTCAATTGAAATTTAACATAGCTTTTAAGGTTTAATCATTTAGATTATTTTTGTATATGTATAATTGCTAGACACATTACAGTCGTTCATAATAGCAGAGAGGTGAACACAATAAATTGATCCAAAATATGTCTTTAACTAAAAAATCAAGTAAATAATTAAAAGAAGAAAATAATCTATCCATATCATTTATTTCATAAAATTTGTATTTTGTACGACTAGAGTAGTTTAATGAGAATTGTATATTTATAAATTATACTGCAAAAAATTCTGTAAATAACAATTTATATTGATCATTATGACTCTAGTTTATACGATTTTGTGCCTGTTCATAATTTATAGGTATAAAGTTAGGTATACAGATAATTTCACAAGTGAATTAATACATCATTTAAATTATTCATTTTGTATATACATTTTATTATTATTTTAAATTAAGATGAACAATATTTTTAAAAATATTTATGACCATAGAAACTGAAACTTGACATTAATTTGAAAAATAAATTGTGAATTAACAGTATAAAATAATACGTAATAGTGATATGTACACAACATTATTGCAAACAGCAAACATTCAACTGATTATTGATAAAATTAAAAACAAATACAAAATACATGTTACCTACATGCTATGATAAATAAAAATTTAAAATTGTAGGTACCAATGTATGATGGGCGCACACTAGTTGCCTCCCGAAGTCAAAAAGGCCCATAATTTGTATACGAATTGCCTCCCGACTATATACGAGTTGCCTCCCGACGTACCCTAAATTTTATCATAAACGAAAAGGGTCTAGTACTAGTTGTATCAAATTTTGAGTAATTACAAATATTGGCTAAAAAATACAAGCCTAAACAATGTTATAAATAATTTTTTACCATTATATGCATATTATATTATATAATTATTACCATACATTTATTTTATTGACTAATAATAGGTACTACTTCCTATTTTGTTTAACTTATTGATTTATTATTTGACTGATGTTTTTTAACTGCACTATATATTTTTAATAAGTAGTACCTATAATATATTTTATTTTTATTGATTATTTTTATATTATTATTGTTTTAACCAAGTCTGGTATTTTTAATAATGAATAAAGTATAAACATTATCTATTTATGTGGAACTGTTTGGTGAAGTTTATGAACCACTACTTAATTCTATATGGGAGGCAATTAGTGTGAAACTTTTTGGGAGGCAACTCGTATATAATTATGAACTATCTGGTCATTGGAGGCAACTAGTGTAAATTAACCTTTTTATTTACGATAAGGACGGGAGGCAATTCGTATATTTTGGGAGGCAACTAGTATGCACCGTGTATGATAATAGGCAAGTCAATTAAATCAATAATAGTATTAACTGAAAAGGGTCAAAGAAATTTAACTATGCACATACAAACATATAAATATAACAAAAATCTAATGAACATAATTATTTTAAAATAACACTTTACTCAAAACATTAGTGTTAAAAGAAATAAAACGTCTTAAACTTCTAAGAATGATAATGAAACTTATGAAACAATGTTAAATGAGGCCAAGTTAAACGAGCACTATGTATATTTGTAATCAAAAACTTCATCGCAACCCAATATTATATATATCTACCAATATGTACCAGTATGTTAAATATTTTAATAATGAATAATAACATTCAGAATTACTAGCAAAGTAGATGCCGAAGAATGATGATCACATATTTAAAATACTGAAAATACATTAAATTGAATTCAATAAAAGTAAGTGATAAAACAAAATTAATTATGAGGGTAAGACCTATCCCCTTACAACCACATGTACCTACATAAATAGATTAAATAATATTATAAAAATTATTTAAAGTTCTAGTACTCTACTAACTCAACCAAAGCACTTGCTCAAATTAAATTAATAAACATGAAAAAAAAAAAGTAAATAAAAAAAAGCAAGTAAAATAATACCGTTTTGATATTTTAATTCAGTGATTGATAAAACTTATATAAATGAATCAATTAATTTGAAAAATACTCACAGGTAGTAGTCTCTGCATGCACAAAGCCTGGTCTTCATCTCTTCTAAATTCAACAGTAAAACATTGCTGGTACATTGCGAATTGAAAATTCATAGATCTATCTTGTTTGAACCGTTCTAACCTAAACAGAAACAAATGGTTGAACACGGCCGATACACAAAAACGATCAATAAATACAAATCCATGCACTTTGGGTTATCGATATACTCGTGTCGTTTGTTTTGTTCAGGTCTGATATTACTCCAACACGTGTATATAACTAATAGTAAGAATCGTAAAAAAAAATAAATTGAACAAACACGCCGTTGCGGTATTCGTTCGTCAAGTATTTGGCAAACGCGAATGGCCTTTTAATAATGTATGTATATTATAAATGTTTGTTACCAGTCAAACATGACGGTCAGTGGAAATTCGATTAAACACAGAGCGCCATTTTCAAGTTTTAAATAATCGTTGAACGATAAATAAACACTGTATCACGGTGATTGTCAAAAGTGACGAGAGAATAAATGCATTAAATACTCACGAAATATTGTAACAAGATAAACGGAAACCACAACAGTCAAGTGATCGGATCGAAGTGGATAAAACTCTGCGGATTAAACGTAAATGGTAAAACGTGGTCCGCCATATTGATCAGTTGTCCATTTTTGTTCGAGACTTTTAGATAGACGGTTTACGAAACTCAAACGTTATATACGATAGAATAATAAAAAAATTTAAACTTTAAAAACAATGTGAACTACAAAAACGGATTCATGGCATACATGCGCTGCACGCAGAAAACTAGAAAGTAGAAACGGTTCGATTAGAAGCAAGGAAATAAAAAAATTAATTTGCGAGCCGACGCGCCAACGCCTGAACCGAAACATTCAGACAGACAGCAGTGTGACCAACCGTCCGGATTGATGGTCCTTGCCCCTTGGCAACAACGGGCTATGATGGTGAGGACTGGAAACGAAGTGGCGGGCGGGCGACGGAGAGCCGCATGTGGTTTGTTAGTAATGATTTGTAGGTTTGTGCAGGGGGAATGAGGCAAATGCAGATACAGCACTACTGCGGAGTAGGATGGAAATATTACTGTTATTTAGTATTGGTTTTCTTATATTATAAACATAGATAGAGCGCGAGTCGCACTCGCCCCATTTCATATCGCACAAACCAACTCACAACCTTAAGCGGCCCGGTGATTAGGCTTTCGTTTCCAGCCCATACTATAGTCTGTCTCAGAAGAGAAAGGTACCGCGTCTCGACGAAATCCAGTCATTATTGTGCATCCCCCACACCTTCCAACGTCTTGTCATCACCACTACCTGTTACCCGTGAGCAGCCCCTAGCGGCTTGGGACGGCAAATTAGTGTAAACGCATGCCTGTTTATGTATGTAGATTGCATGTAGAGGGTGTTCGATGGTTTGGCAGCGGTGTGGAGCTTAATCTCCATGCGCGAAACGGTACCTTTCTCTCGTGAGACAGACATACCTTAGTCCGTGTCGGCCACTAATCTTAACTAGTATTAGTCATGCGTGCCATTTAGTAGTTCATTTTTCTGAAAATGTTGACATTTCAACGTTTTAATTTTATTTATCTCCTGATTTTTGCATGGGTAGCGAGTCCCCCTCTACGGCTATTGGGTATATCCCCACGGGACATCCTGTATGTATTTTTTTGTTAAAATTTAAAAGTGTTAAGTATTTGTGAATTTTGAAATGACTAATATAATATTTAATTGAAAATTAAAGAAGACCTAGATCATTGTTTTATTTTATTTTACAATGTCCAATAATAATAATTATGTAACCTTCCTAATCAAAAATAACTACAATGAAAATATGTTCAGTCAAAATATGTAATAAACAATAAATTTCTTCATTAGAATAGGGCTAATTAATAATAAGTAATAAATATAATTTTTTTCATTATATTAAAATCAAAAATATAATCAGATTCATTGAAAACCTCATGTTAATTGATATGCAACATGGGTTTCTTTTTTAACACCCAGATTAACCATAATTAATCTGAATAAATTTAAATTTAACCGTAAAAACAAGTTTATCAACCCGTAACACCCGAAACCCGAAATCCTAACAAACGATTCGGGTGCAAAACAACCCTGTATTGTATTGATGTGGCAATTACACTTATTGGCAAAAAAATATTTTTTTAATTATTTTATATGATTTTGAAAAAAAATAACCGTAGTCTTTTCCGAATCTCAGAGATTTTTGTTTGGGGTTGTTGTTAGTCGCCCGTCGGGGGTTGTTTTTTCTAGGGATTTTTATTCCGATTTCCCATGTCTCTATTGTTGTCGGTGGAGATTCGATACACGGAGGCGTCATACACTTAGTCATGAAACGCGGTACATATGTATGATACACATGTTTCGAAAAGCAAACAACTTCGAAAACAATTGAAATATTAAAAATTAAAAAAAAAAAATACTTACCAAATAGTAGTAAATATACGAAAATTACAGCTGCAGTGGTTTTAGCTGAATCATTCTCATGTTATTCCGTGCCATGACACCAGTACGTCGCCATGTTCGCAGTGGTGATTCGATACTCAGTTGTACTCAGTCGGTGGTAGGGTATGATGGATACGGTTTACGCGGATTTCGGAAATGAAATTATTGCAAAAATTAAATACTAATAAAAACTCTGTCACAATGTCGACAGAAAAAAAAATTGAAAATGGTGGACTGGGCATTTAGACAGATTAGTTTGTTACGAAGAAATGAAAGTAGTCGTCTGTTGAACAGGAATGGTGGAAGGAACGCGTCACCCCGCATTCCCTCTGCTTCCGGACGCCCGTTTCCAGTGACGTTATTCATTCAAAATGCCTTACATATAGTGTGGCCAACCTACAACAAGATTGTCATTGTCAACTAAGCAAAACTGGTATTATATCAACGGCGGCACAGCCATGATGAGAAACAATTTCACCCTGAAATACAAACCCCAATTTCAAAATTTTGGCGCGATAATAATTACATGTATGATTATCAAAATATTAAATTAAAATTATAATTTGATCTTAAATTTAATATTAGGACAGTAAATGTACCTATATAAAAATAATTAATACCAATATGATGAAACCATTATTCAGAGGGATGTTTATATTATTATAATTAGGGAACGGATTTGATGCAAATTGCATTTTTTTCTGAATGTCTGAAAACATTGGTTTCGAAACAAAAAGTTCATTTCATACATCAAGGAATTAAAAAATGTAACTTTTATTTAGCATTTTTTGACATTTTTAGTGCATTTGTATGGTTTTTAAGTCATTTTTCAACATTAATTCTAAAAAAATAAAAATACCTAAATATTTATCATGTTAAGAATTTACGAAATTATTTGATCAATCATGAATCATCAATATGAGCTTGTTGTGGCCAAAGGGTATAAACACGATAATGTACACCTATTCCTCAGTGATGCAGCACCTTATATGGTAAAGGAAGGAAAAAATATTAAAGCGTTTTACTCAAAAATGGAACACGTTACATGTAAGGCACATTCTCTACACCAGCGCTTCTCAACCTGTAGTACTAGTGGTACTCGGAGAGCTCATAGGTGGTACTCGAAGAAAATCTTAAAAAAAATTGCTACGAATTATTATTAACATAAATATTATTTGGTTTATTTGATGTTTATTTGATGATGTCGAAAATAATTTAAGACTTAAAGTTAGCAATTTGGAGCCCGATATTGACGTCATCGTCCGTTCAAAACAACACCAATCGTCTCATTGATATAAAAAGTAAACCATAATAATTATAATAATTTTACATATTTAATTTTTTTTTTTTTTTTAAGTTTTTTTCTTTCTGTGCATTAAATACTCAATTAAATACTTTATTTTTGATTATATATTCATATATTTTATATTATCTCATTTTGTAATTCCTAATGAAATAAAATTCTATACATACATATAACATAAACGTATACATTATTAATAAGCAAAAAAAAATGGTCAGGTGGTACGTAAACATTTTCAAATTGTTTAAGTGGTACGTGACTATAAAAAGGTTGAGAACCGCTGCTCTACACAGAGTTAGCTGAAGAAATACGCGAAAAATTTCCCGTAATTGATGCTTATATTTCGAACGCAAAAAAAGATTTTTTGAAATGCCCATCTCGAGTATTGAAATTCAAAGGTTTTTTTTTCAACACCCATACATATATATAGAGAAATAAGTTACCTATCTGGTATCTAATAAGTAATAATTAATAATAAATACATAAAAATAATTAATTTCTATTATTTAATAAGTCTAGCAAATCTTGAAATTTAATAAAATAAATTTAATAAATTTAATAAAATAATATGTATTTACTTAATTTATTTCTTTAAGTGTAAAATTAATACTTTAATTTGACTGTAATCAAAAACTAAATTTATTAAGTTAATAATTATCTATCTTAAATAAGAGTACGTTCAACCCTCGTGTGTTGTCTCCGTCTTACAAGAGCATTACATATCAAATTTTACGTTCAGCAGATCACGATTAGCTATGTTAGCTTAAAAATTAATGAATTGGCCCTTTATTAAAATTAAAGGTCAGATTATTAAGGAGGGCTTCTCATGAGCTTTTAATTACATTTTAATTTTAAGGAAAGTTATGAGTATTTTACGTTGTACAAACAATTAACAGTTTTAAAATAGATCAATCAAAATACCTTTTACTCTCATTATTAAATTCTTTGTTATTCACCATTCTGATTAAATCAACAAGATATTCTTGGTTTTTGGCAAGGTCTACTTTCAATGTTTCATTGTCCTTTTTTAATACATTTATCTGTCCTGCAACTGATAAAAGAGCTCAATGAAACAAAATGTATTTAAAATTAATATAATTTAAACTGCGATGTATACCATTTTTTAAGACATGACCAATATTTATCAACATTTGAGTAATGTCTGGTACATGATCATTTGTAAAAAGTAAGTAATTAAAAATGCAATTGTTGAACAAATTTAACAATTTAATTGATTAATGATGATAATATAGATTATTACCACGGATAGTTAATGGCTGACTATCTTTTACTAATTTTACCACATTTGGAAAGGCAAAAACTCCAAGTCATTAGCAGATTCATCACAATTGAATAAATTAAATGAATCTAAAAACATAAAAATGAATAGTAAATTAAAAAATTATATTATTTTAAGGTAATTATTTCCACAATACTTGTTGGTTCTGGAACTGTATCTACAACATTTTTTATTTTAACTTTTTAATTTGTTGTTAAATATTGAGTCACTTTCATCACTGTAATTTGAATCAATTGTTAGGAATACTTTTTTGTTTTGTGTTCTTTGTTTACCCGAAAAAATAAAAAACCAATAAAGTATTAATTTAACTATAGGTAATATTTAAAAAAAAATTTAAAAAATTACATAAATGGGTATTCAATTTTTCTTTTTTAGATTAATTATTAAGACCTTCAACACTGCTAGATGAGTTAAAATGTTTTCTCTTTATATGTTTTCTACGGTTTTCTGTCTCTTCTATTTTTATTGAGCTGGCGTAACAGAAATGTAATAATTTTTTCTGTCAATAGAAAAATAAAATTCAAATTTAAACAAATTAAACATTACAATAATTGTATACTTTTACCAACCGAAAAATTTACGTGGAAGACAGTCGTGTTCTTCCCACGAATTGACTGGATTTTTTTGTGATAAAGCAAACTTAGATACATTTTTGCTTCCAGGCCAACAACAAATAAAACGCTTTAATATATATTATGATCAACTTTAATCCACTTACATGATACCACTTCAATAAATTGTTCATTTAAAAATCCAATTATGGCAAATTTACTTTGATTGGTTTTAATTTTTAGGACAATAAAACGGTGAATAATAATTCGACTGCTGGACGGTGAACAACACTTAAGTTAGGTGGTAATATTTATTTCCGACTCCGATGCTCACCGTAAATATTATTAATAGATATCAAGATACACTGGCTATTTAAAATATAAATAATAACTAATATAGTAATATGACAATTTATAAATGAAACGTCTATCGGTCTATAGTTTAATATGGTCTATGATACTTACAATACATAAAATATACCTGTTTTCTTAAGAGCTACGGTCATATGAAGTTATTTTTAAATTCCATGTAAGATGAATTAGTATAATATTATGATATACATTGATTACGTCTGTTATAAACGTGAACTGTGAAGTACCGATTTTAGTCATTGTGCAATATCTGCCTTACGTCGTAAACAAAAGCAAGAAAAGTTAATATGCTTAGTTAAATAATTATATTTTAAATTTAAATGTTTTTTTTTAGTTCTTTTTCAATAAATTTTGTAATTTTGTTATTAATTATTATTAAAATATAACCAGAAATAATTTACACAGTATTATTTCGCCTGTGTCAGCATTAAAAAAAAATTATCTACAAATACTTAAGTATCTAATTATATTAGGGCCCCGGATTTACTTTGTCTCCAAAGATTCTAGTTGCGCCACTGTTGATACACATTGAAACGTACCAACGAAATTAAATAAACGTAGATACACCACTTAAAATATACAAATATAGGTCTACCTATCTTACTCAAAAAATAAACATCGATAAACGTATATGATACTAATAATATACATATATTTGCAACGTATAAGTATAACCTACCAATATTTTCTTGTGAATCAGAAAAAGCAATAAGTATTTTTAATCGATGTTTTGGTTTATTAAATAGAAAATCCACAGTTAAAGGAATAAAGGATAGCAATGATTTTAAGATTTCATTCATTCATATAAATTATAAAAGTGAAAATAACTTTAACTAAAATAATGGAGTTCTCATATAGGTAAATACAATTATAGAAACAATACAGTATAAGCATATTATATCTATTAATCAACTTGTTCTCAGACGCTAGTTGCATAAAATTAAACTTCAAGCTAAATAATAAGCATATTACAATTTTAGAGGCAAATAATTCACCATTAATCACCACAAACTATAAACATTTTATTATCTCAACTATTTACCATAATGACCTCAGGTCTTATACAAATAAAATTGTATATGGTTTGAAAATATTGACATATTAGAAAAACATACATTTCTTTAGCTGAAAATTATTTAAATATACTATCATCAAATGGTTTTACTTTTCAAATCTGTATTCATACTAGAGTGCGATACGACACTAGATCTTGTTTTGACCTAATATTTAGTAAAAATGATATTCCTGTTCTAGCAGCAATTAAGACTAGTATAACAGATCATTAAATATTATAGGAAGGTTGTTTAAAAAACTCACAACTCACTAGTAAATATCCAATCCATTAATAAGTATTCAAATTTAAATAAAAACCATATATTGATAAATTGATTATTATAATAAGGCAGTTAGATTGTTATCCTGTATCGTATGTCGAATTGAATGGATAATTATAAATCAATAACACTAATACTGCATTAAATATTTTTAATAAAAATATATTTGACACAATTTATAATTGGGTACTTGTTTGTTATCGCCCCGCCAGTACACCGTATAAAATTTATCGCCCCGCCATGCCACTCTTGTTTGTTATCGCGCCTCCTGTACATCGCATACAATTTATCGCTATTGCTAATCGTTTGTGATCTATTTTAGAAAATGAGAAAAGTATATTTTATCATTTTTATGATATAGGATATTAGTTCGTTGCTGGCATTCGTTTACTATTTCATTTACTTATTACCTACTACTGAGAAATTCGAAAAATTAAATTAAATTATGAATTTTACTGAATTACTTACAATTGTTTCAAACAGTGATACTGGAATTAGCTTTTTACAAAAACATAATATAATTAAAGTTAGTGAAGTGTGTGAAAATGGCCATATAATGTTTATCAAGGGATCGCGATGGCGATGTCAGAAAAGAAGTTGCCGAAAGGAAAAAGGATTAAGAATTAATAATTGGCTAACTGGCTCTAGACTACCAATACACACAATTGTCCATTTCATATACTACTGGGCCCGAGAAATGTCTTCAGTAACATTTTGTAAACGTGAATTAAATATGGGACAAAATGCTGTGGTTGATTGGAGTAATTATCTACGTGAGGTATGTGTATGGAAGCTTGAAAATAATCAAAATAAAGAAATTGGTGGACCCGGTCTTTTTGTTGAAATAGATGAAAGTTTATTTGTGCGTAGAAAAAATAATGCTGGGCGTATTCTGCCACAACAATGGATTTTTGGTGGAATATGTCGGGAAACTAAAGCGTGTTTTATAATCAGTGTACCAGATCGATCGGAGAAAACTTTGTTACCTATAATACAAAGATATATAAGACCAGGCTCAATAATTTTGTCAGATTGTTGGAAAGCTTACAATAATTTGCAGCAAGTGGGATTCAAACATAATACTGTAAACCACACGTATAATTTTGTCGATCCGGACACAGGGGCTCACACCCAACATATTGAGAGGTTGTGGGGTTCTGCTAAATGGGGCAATAAAAAGCGTCGTGGAACTAACAGAAATTTTCTAGAATCATATTTGGCAGAGTTTATGTGGAGAACACGTCTCGGAGAACAAGACGCATTTGAAACTATCCTCAAAGATATTTCCGAATTCTGGCCTCCATTATAACTATAGATTCATAATATATTTTCTACATTTTTATACATATTTTATATTTTATACATTTTTTAATTTAAATTTTATACTAAACATTTATATATTTAAAACTATTAAAATAAAATAAAATAATATTATACATTGAAATTTTTTTTATATATGGAGGGGCGATAACAAACAAGAGTGGCGGGGCGATAAATTTTATACGGTGTACTGGCGGGGCGATAACAAACAAGTACCAATAATTGTATTGTATCAGAGTACTAATCAAGTTGGAAAAATTGTAAGTTAAAACCATGGATTATCAGTGGTCTTGTGACATCAATACAAATTGGGATAAGCTTAATATGAAAATGAAAAAGGATATACAAAATCAAAAATTAACAAATTATTACAGAGCATTTAGAAAATATAAATCAACAATACTTATTCAGAAGGCCCAAGAACAATAATATATCATAAAAATAGAGACATATACAGAGTAATGAAGAAATCTGGAGATTTCGAACATAAGCGTCTACGGACTACTTTTAAGGTGATTCTAAAAAAATCGTTTTTAAATCCTTTGCTATGATAAGACTGTGAGACTTTGGATTGTTCGATTTTATTGCTGTTGAAATAATAACATTTATTAACCTCCTTTGTTCTCCTCAGAACCGTCAGAGCACTTTTTTCTAAGTTTGAACTTTTTACAATATTAAAATATCATAACATTTCAGTAAACACAACATTTTTGTTCAGTCATATATACCTATTGAAGAAATTCAAATTTCAAAAAAATTCCTCATCGACCGTTCTCTAGAGGATATGTTAATAAATATTAGGATTTTTACAGAATTAAGGTCGCAAGGTATGTTTTAACTTGAAAAGTAACCAAATACTGTTCCCTAATTTGATATATTGACATGTGCCTGCGAGTGCGAAAACGCGTTGAGATAAGATGCGTTTTGCTGGGGTCGTTATAAATACAGTCGATTACAGCACCAAAGTGTTATCATTTTTTTTATCCGTGTTATCAGTGTTAGAATTTATACATTTTCAACTACAAAATAATTTTTATTTTAAAATCAATGCATAAAGTAAAATTGTAGGTATAAAATAAAAAATGAAGTATTCTTGTGCCTTTGGATTCTTCAACCATGCTTAAATTAGAATATGACATAAAAGTTGCCACAAATAATGGGGTAGAAACTCAAAATAAACTTTTAAAGAGTTTTTATTTAAAAATGCAGAGTAACAAGTCTTTAAATAGTATATAATATAAAAATATATATTAAATATAATTGAACAGTTTTTACCACAAAGTTTAAGTAAATATCAGACAAAAAATTACAAACTTTCATCATATTATAAACAAATATCAAATAAAATACCTTCATTTTTACACGGACGACCAGAAACATTTGTTAAACATGTATATTCACTATATGCTACAGCTCAGAATATCTATAATGAAAAAAAAATTAAAAAATTAGATATGGATAAATGATTGTTCGAAGTAAAGAATGAAAGTGACTCTTCCTCATATATAGTAAATTTTCAATTACCCAGTTGTACATGTTTAGATTTTAAAAAATATCATTGGAAATGTAAACATGTGTGTGCATTATTTATTTATGTACCAGGATGTTCATTTGAAGATTTACCACAAACATTTCAAAATAATGTTTTCATATCATCTGATCCTCGGTATTCAATTACTAATAATACAGATCATGAAATTAAAATTCAAAACAGTGTTACAGTTTTAAATGAAAATAATGAAAATGCCATTACCTCTATTAATCCAAATTCGAGGACCAATGAAAATATTTCAAATATACCAGCCCAATGTCGAGAATTACTTAAGAAAATGATTGATTGAACTTACATCATAGACGAAAAACAACATCCAGAATTGTCAAAAGCACTAGATACTTTAAATAATGTCCATAATAAAATGAGTGAAATGGTTATAAAGCAAAATGGTTTACCGCTGCTACCTAAAAAACGTAGTTCAACAGTATTATTAGATTTACCGAAAACCCATAAAAGACCTAAGACTTAAATCAAAAGACTAATTATACCTAACCTAATTTGTATTTATTATTGTGATTTTTTATTTTATATTTATTATACTTAATTGACGAATTAGAACCACTGAGAACTAAGATTATAATTATAATTATAGTATTATATTTATGTTGGTGACACTATCGTATTAAATATATTAAATCATATCTAATATATTGTATATATAAAAACCACAATATATTAGACATTTTATGTTTTATATTTTCAATGCAAATAAATATAACATATAAATAATGCGGGGTAATTCATTTTTCTTTATTATCTTTTTCTTTTAATAGTATACATAATACAACTCAGAACATATTATATGCTAAAAAAAAAAATTAAAAATAGAGTTAAATCAATTATTGCCAAAAATAATCGGGTAGAGACTTTAAAAGAGTTTTTATTTGAAACTGCTAAGTTCTTAAACAGTGTTCTAGAAACTTAGAGATGTTACAAACTGTTCGATTTCTGAACCAAACTAAACTCTGGGTGTTAAACTGTTAAGTTCGGTTTGAAAATCGAACTAGAGAAATAAAAAATGAATATTAAATATCAATATATTTTAAATATAATGAAATAATATTTGGTTCAGGTTTGATTAAAAACATGGTTCTATCTAAGTCTAACACAAAGTTTAAGTAAATATCAGACAAAAAATTACAAACTTTCATCATATTATAAACAAATATCAAATAAAATACCCTTATTTTTACACGGACGACCAGAAACATTTGTAAAACATGTATATTCTCACTTATATTATATATATTACTTATATTATTGTGATAACACTGATAAAATAAAAATGATAACACTTTGGTGCTGTAATCGACTGTATTTCTAACGCCCCGTTGTGCTGTATACACACACTCATGTTCATATACACTATAGGACACATTAACATGACCCGGATATACCTGCCTCAAAGCTAGCCTAATTATTACTACTTAAAAAATGACAGACTAGAACCCCTCTAAACATAGAACCTAAACTCTTATTTCGAAGCAACCAGAAATGGATAAGTTGAAAACAATTTTCCTAATAGTATAAATAATTTATAACGCAAATTGGGAATGAATACTAATAATCAATTAAATGCAAGCTCAAGCATCAAAGTTCAAGTTAAATACCATTGGAAGTTACAAAATAATAAATACTAGTGATGTGTAAGTCTTGTAAATTTACTATGTAAAATTTTACCTGTAAAGTAAATTTACCGTACACTTACAAAAAAAAAATGTTTTGAGTTTTTCGGTTATATATTGTTTGATGGGATTTAACGGACCTGAAGCGCATCATAGTATCATTTATTTTATTAAAAGATGTATATTTCCGAATTACTGTCCACATACAATTTATATGGATTTGATGTCAATTCACGAATTATTTTGATGATGCAAATATTGATTTTTCCTGGTTTCATTATAATCAGGTACCTACTTATTAACGTATAAAAAATGTAATAACCTAATTATACAAATAACACTAAACACTAAAATGTGGATCATTAAAATGAAAAATTGTAAGTATAATAGTTTAAATTTATAACAATTAATTTGCAATTAAAAATTATTTTACTGTGTGTTCACCAATTTAGGGTCAATGAATTTCTTGGCCGAATTATATTGGAATAAATCGATTTTTTTTTTTAATTAGTGGTAAATAAAAACATATTCTCAGATAAATTTCAAATTTTTAATCATATCGGTACGCGCATGAGCAATACAACTTTAAATTTTTAAATTGGCAACCGGTATTTTCGATACCAAATTCGAATATACCGAATTTTTTTATTAAAAATTTAAAAAGTTAATGTTTTAACATTTATTAAAATATGTTAATTAAATAATAAGTATATAATTTAAAATATTTATCTGTTAATGTTTTTAAATGTCATTACATTTGTAATGTATTAAAATGTTGAAAATTACAAAATTAAAAAACGATTAAATGTTTATTGGTTTTTAATTATAAAATGTATATAATAACCTGCAGTGCAGTAATAAAAATAATAGTAGAACATATTATACTGTAATATACGTTATTTAATGTCTCCCTTTATTTGTCCCTTTATCACCATAATTCCTCAACTTTTCGCAAATCGATATTCCCAAGACTTACTCGTAAAATCGTACCTAATGCAGTTCGCAAAGCTGCTCCTACACTTTATCGATGAGATGTATCATAATATATAGTATGTATATAGTTAGGTACCTACATGTGATATTGCTTTATGCATCCGGATATATTTTATCTCGTATTGCATCGCATAATTCATATTATATCTGTGGGCAGCTTCCATAATACTATAGGAATATTAATTTGATCATTTGTGTAACGTTTTTCTTATTCATTTATTTATGACCGGATAAAATTGAAATCGAGTGAATTAAACTTAATTTCGGTTAATAATTATATAATGCGATCGCCACAGGATTAACCCATAGGTATATGATATAGTTATTCATACCCATATATTATTTTAAGTACAAATGCACAATAAGGCACATTTTATTGCGTGTTTGCTTTTTAGAATACGATTACATTTTGAACAAAGGATATTTTGTATATTTTTTAAATAAAAATGTACCTACGCTCTTACCATAACATTATAGTATTAAAGTAAACATTGTAAATTTTATTACGTTTTATAGTTTTTATATATTATAAACATTAATGTTCATAAATGAAACAGAAATAGAATTATAAATTATTATGCTTTTCAAACAAAACATTATCTCTAAGACGTTAATTTTATATGATTAAAATTGAAAAATGTAATATTTTTCAAACGACAGAAAGTCTATATATACCTTTTGCTAAATACAATGATTTTTTCATGTATAGGTATACCTAATAAAAAAATCTTTTATGCATAAACTAAAAAATTAGCATTTAATTGCTTTCTAGATGTTTGGAGGACACTAAGACACAAATTGTTGTTATTTCTACTA